CAACCAACCAATCAATCAATCAATCAATCAATCAATCGAAAAAAAAAAATCAATCAATCAATCAATCAATCAATCAATCATTTAATCGATCAATCAATCAATCAATCAATCAATCATCAATCGATCAATCAGTCAATCAATCAATCAATCAATCAATCACATTTGTTTTTCTATTTTTAATTTTTTTTTTAACATATAAAAAATCAGCCCCCCCCAATTTTTTTTTATTTTTTTTTTGTGCATAGGCCTGTAGCGGCCGACGTGCGCAGGCCAACGGCGCACGCGGATTTTGAGGGCGCGCTTGCCTGCACGTGGCGCGGCCGCGTGCGGACTCGGCCGCGGGCCTGCGGCCTAGGATCCTGGCTGCAGACTCAGATCCTGCGGCCGCGGCCTAGGGTGCCACATAGCCCCCTACGTCCCCGTACGAGAAAAAAAAAAAAATGTCATCAAAAAAATCCGAAAAACAAATATGTGCTGCAACATCACAAAACAAGCAACATTTGGCTGAGCACCATCTGCAGATTCTTATTAGAATTTGATAAAAAAAATAAAAATCATTATAAAAAAAAGTCGTACGGGCCTTAAGAGTACAAGTAGCATACGGTAAATGAGTACAACTTGTACTCGTACGGTGTGACGCACGTGCAGATGGCACAACAGTACGGGGGGCCGGAGAGAAGGTTAACAACTGTTGTATTTTTCATCACCACTTCAGGACACCCTTCACCTCCTCAGGATGCAGCCTGCCTAAATAGGTGGTTTTCAGGGTTTTCGGACCTTTCACCAGTTCAGGACCATTTAGGTGTGAAAATCCTGAATGGTCCTGAAGTGGTGAAAGCTCCGAAGACCCTGAAAACCACCTGTTTAGGCAGCTTGCATCCTCAAGTGGTGAAGGGTGGTTTTCATGGTGTTCGGACCTTTCACCACTTCAGGATCATTCAGGATTTTCAGACTGCCCAAAACTCTCACTTGACCACTTCAGGACACCCTTCACCACTTCAGGATGCAGCCTGCCTAAACAGGTGGTTTTCAGGGTCTTCGGACCTTTCACCACTTCACGACCATTCAGGATTTTCGGACTGCCCAAAACTCTCACTTCAGAATTTTCATTCCTGAATTTTCAGCTACCCGATAACCGCTTGTGGGGGGCCGACCGGCTGGGGTCCGCAAAAAGCACGAGCGTCGACGACATCGGGGGGACGCGGCGGTGGCGGCAGCGGGGACGTCGGGGACTGCATCGACGGTACGGCACAGTCCGACGACATCGGTGGTCATCGCGCGGCTTGTTGGATTCGAGTGGAGGGACCATGACAGGGGGTGCAGGGACCAGCGGTGCGGGGGGGTCTAAGGGGTGGCCAGTTCAACCCGCTGTCCGAGAGGGAGATGGCGAAGTTGAGGCGGGGGAACTTGGTTTGGAGCTTCGTCGTGGAGGGGCAGTACGTCGGGGACCAGTCGAAGATGCATGGGGACTGAAAGTTGTGTTGCAACTTATGCGGCCACCTGTTTCAGGGGGGGGGCGTCGAAGGTCGCGCGCCATTTCACGCAGTCGAAGTACTGCAAGGCTGGGGGATGAGAGTTCTCGCGGAACTCTGGAACGGCACGGACTACACATTCGTGCCGTCCAATGCTCAACGGGTGCAGAGGTGGATGGGGGACGAGGGGATACGGGACACGAGAGCGCCCGCGGGTGGCCAGCGACAGCGGATGGACAACGGAAAGAGGGGCGAGATTCAGGATGCCCTCGATGAGGAGGAGGGCCGCGAGGGTGGGGCCAGGGAGGGGGGGGTCGCAGACGAGGCAGTCGGAGAGCCTGACCTGCCAGGGGAGGAGGTGGTGATGACGTCGAGAGGCGTCGGTCGAGCGGGTCCCGCTCCTAGGGCGCCGCGTTCTGAGTTGGAGCACGCGAGGAGGGAGAAGAGGGTAGTGGGGGGGGCTGACGTTGAGGTGCGAGACACGGGCAGGGAGAAGAGGGCTCGACAGACGACGATTGATGAGATGTACGACAAGGAGAGGTTGGCCGAGTTCACAGACGCGTGGCTGCAGTGGATCTACGTGAAGGGGTTGCCATTCAACGCCTTCCGTGGTCCGGAGTTCCAGAGGGTGCGGCAGGCGACAGAGAGAGTGCCTCGCACTATCCAGTTCCGGTTTCCCTCCTACAGGGTTACAGCGGGCGCCGGAATCCCTTCGCAGAGGGCGAAGGTGGCGACGATGGTGAGCGAGGTGCGCGCCTCTTTCCGGCACACCGGTGCCACCATCCTCTCCGACGGGAGGAAGTCGCGCAGCGGCAAGCCGCTCGTGAACTTCCTCGCCGGGGGCGCCAATGGCGCCTTGCTATACGCCACCGTCGCACGTGACGGGTCGGTCCGAGATACAGCGGACATCGTGTACCGTAGGTGGCGGGCCATCATCTTGTCCTTTCCTGCAAAGGACGTGATCGACTTCTGCACAGACTCCTCCAGTAACTATACGGCGGCAGCGCGCAGATTCGCCACGGACCCTGAGCCCGACATTAGGAGGATCACTTGGCTCCCGTGCTCCACCCATGTCTGCAACTTGATATTGTCAGATATCGGGACGTGAGTGGGGTGGGTCAAGGACACCATCATCCGCGCTCGAGCGCTTGTGCGATTTATTAAATCGCACGGCGCTGCTCACGCCCTGTTTAGGAAGGTGAGCCCTCGCGTTCAACTCGTCGAGCCCGTCGAGACACGGTTCGCATCGGTTTTCCTGATGCTGACGTGTCTCAAAGGCCGACGAGACGCGTTGGAGAGCATGTTGCACGGGGATGCTTGGGCACACATCCTGTGGGAGCGCAGGCTTGTGTCGCAGGCGCAGTGGGTGCAGCAGCAGATCCGGGACGGGGAGTTTTGGTCGTGTGTCCAATACGCCATCCTTGTCATGGCGCCCGTTGTCGGGGCCGAACCCTGAAGGACTTTCGAGCCTTGGTCGACCCCACTACGGGTCCCACTTGGCTCGACCCGCCCACGCTCACTCTCAGGGCGCGGGTTGTTCGTCCCAGGGGCACCCCCACCTAGTGCTATGAGATGGATGGGGTTGGGCCAATAGGGCGAGAGAGCTTAACATTGGGGATGTAGCTCAACCCTCTAGCCGGGTGGTAGCCTCACTGGTCTAGATCCGCAGGCGTAAGGTTTTGGATTCTCTGTTTGTCTTACCAGGCAATTGCTCCTTCCAATACTCAGTCAGTCCAGGGAGGTTCATTGAGAGCTTTCTCTTCTTTACGGTGCATAGGCTAAGCGTTCTCCTTAGGCCACGCACTCCTTCACTAACGGCCCTAGTTTCCTATAGCATCATCGGGGCGGCTCGTCCCTTTGCCCCTAGCCCCTATCTTTCCTCTAGTCGGCCTACGCGTACATCTCCCAGGTCTCGTGACCGCGCTTAGTCCTTCCAGGCGGTCCTACCAAACTCGCGACCCAGCCACAACAACACATCACGGCAAAGTCAGGCTCCAAACCCATCCCCGACCCTTCGTTTTTTCAGGCCGTGCTAGTCATGCAATCGTCAAAGCCCAAAGTCCATCCCGACAGTTCGAGATTCAACCCCCCATCCCCTCATTACGGTCCCATGCCGCACAATCCCTTCATTGCCAGGTCGTCCAAGCCACTTACCTGCAACACATCCAAATAAACATGACAATGACATACGTCCGTCCCCGATGGGGTCAACACACCGCCCCTCATGCAAGTCCAAGTCTTCCCTTTCCTTTCCCATGCTTTTGGGTGCCTTCCTTCCTTCCTCACAGTCAAACCACACTCTTCTTACTCAGGCATGCAGTCGAGGAGGTGGTTGAGTCGACTGACCTTGTCCAAAACAACACTTCCTTTTGCTCTCACCAACGTCCTCAATAGTCTCGTTTCCTTCTTGGTGGCACAAGGGACCGACACCCCTTCCCTTGCCCTCGCTCTCCACCAAGTGAGGACCAAGTTCCTTTCCATTCGTTCCCTGGCAATCTAACGGTGAGGATAAAAGTTAGTCACATGCCATGGAGGAGAAGGGGTGACGGAAGGCCTTAGGGGTTCAGGAATTTTGAAGGAATGGAGGAAGACGAGGGGAGAGGGAGGGAGAGACAGGGAGAGCGCGCGCGCGCGCGAGAGAGAGAGAAAGAGAGAGAGAGAGAGAGAGAGAGAGAGAGAGAGAGAGAGAGAGAGAGAGAGAGAGAGAGAGAGAGA